ACCCTCTCCTCCTCCTGCTCCTGCTCCTCCGGTACCCCCCCCCCCCCCCCCCTGGTCCTGCCCCGTCTGGTGTGTCCCACGCTACCCCTCTACCCTCGGTCGCGCGTCAGGTAGCGTCTCCCTCCTCGCAGTCCTCCTCACAGTCCCCTCAGCAGCCTTCGGCACTTCCGCGATAGGTTCCTGTGGACTTGGTTGGTGTTGGAGCTGGAGGTGCAGCCGCTGGCGGTGCGCGGTCTGGGGGTGCTCGTTCGCGGGGTGCTGGAGCTGGAGGGGCTGGCGTAGGTGGCGCTAGCTCTGGGGGTGCTGGAGCTGGAGGTGCTGGCACTGGGGGTGCTAGTTCTGGGGGTGCTGGAGTTGGAGGTGCTAGCACTGGAGGTGCTAGTTCTGGGGGTGCTGGAGTTGGAGGTCCTGACACTGGAGGTGTTGGTTCTGGGGGTGCTGGGTCTGAGGAGACTGGCGCTGGGGACCCTGGTTCTGCGGAGTCCACTCCGCCTCCCCACCGCCACGACACGCATCTCCAGGCTGCCCGTCGGCGTGAGCGTGAGGAGCAGGAGCGGTTGGAGAGGGAGCGGCAGGAGCTGCGGCTGCTGGACCTTCTGGAGCAGCAGTGGCAGCAGCAGCAGCAGCAGCAGCAGCAGCCGCAGCCGCCGCCGCAGCCGCAGCAGCAGCAGCCGCAGCCGCCGCCGCAGCCGCAGCAGCAGCAGCCGCAGCCGCCACCGCAGCTTCCTCTGGAGCGGCAGTTGTTCCCACCTGTGAGTGGCCTGCGGGCCCTTGGCCTTTCCTCCTCTCCTCCTGTCCGCTCCCAGTCTCCTCCTGTGTTTGTTCCTCCGTTGCCTCCTCCTGACGACCGTTCGGCGGTCTGGTCTTCTCCTCCTCCTCAGTCTCCTCCTCCTTCTGTCCGTCACGACTTGATCACTCGTTGTCCTCCGCGTGCTCGTCACTTGTCCCCTGTTACTGACCTCCAAACTGCCCTCCTTTGTACGTCTCGTCGTCGTTCTCCTTCTCCTGTGTCCGTTCTCCCGTCTCCTCCTCCGTCCTCTCTCCCAGCCCTCCCCACTCCTATCTCCGACTACTACCGCGCTGTTCGTCCTGTTGCCGCACGTGTCCTCGCCACTCTTGCCACCGACTCTCGTTTCCCTCCGTCGTCTGCCTCGGCTCTTATTGCCGCTGTCGCTGAGTTTGCTGCCGCCAGCTGCCTTGACTACGCCACCCGTGTTGTGCCAGCTCCTCCCTACCGTCCTCTGTCCGTCAGGGGTGGGTTTGCCCTTGGCTATGACGACCTAGAGGACAGAGAGTCTGAGCTGGAGTACTGGGCAGCCGCTTCTCCCTCTGTGTGTGCCATGCTGCTCTCCCCTGAGGGAGACCCCGACGCCCTTGACATACCGACTCCTCGCACTTACCGCGAGGCAGTGTCAGGGGCGTGGGCCTCTCAGTGGAAAGCGGCTATGGACTCAGAGTTGGCGTCTTGGAGATCCACAGGCACCTACGTCGATGCAGTTCCCCCTCCCAGGGCGAACGTAGTCGATGGCATGTGGCTCTTCAAGGTGAAGCGGCCGCCTGGAGCACCGCCGGTGTTCAAGGCGCGCTACGTGGCTAGGGGCTTCAGTCAGCGTGAGGGAGTTGACTTCTTCCAGACCTTCGCCCCGACCCCGAAGATGACTACTCTTCGGGTGTTACTCCACATAGCAGCGCAGCGAGACTACGAGCTGCACTCCCTCGACTTCTCCACTGCGTTCCTCCAGGGCCGACTGCACGAGGAGATCTGGTTGCGCTGTCCTCCTGGCTTCACTGACACCTTCCCACCTGGGACCCAGTGGAGCCTGAGGCGACCAATCTACGGTCTCCGCCAGTCGCCCCGTGAGTGGCACGACACTCTTCGCTCCACGCTTCGTGACCTTGGGTTCAGCCCGTCCTCCGCCGACCCGTCGCTGTTTGTCCGAGCGGGTTCTACTCCTTTCTTTATCCTTGTCTACGTCGACGACTTGCTGTTTGCTACAGCAGACAGGGCAGCCCTGGCTCAGGTGTAGTCCGAACTGTAGAAGAGACACAAGTGCACTGACCTGGGTGAGCTGCAGCGCTACCTTGGCCTGCAGATCACCCGGGACAGAGCCGCTTGCACCATCAGACTGACGCAGTCACACATGGTGCAGCAGGTCCTTCGGCGGTTCGACTTCCAGTTCTCCACCACACACCCCACTCCTCTTGCTGTTGACCACAGACTCACGGGCCCCTTTCCTGACGAGCCCTTTGAGTCCAGTGGCCCCTACGCAGATCTGGTGGGCTGCCTCATGTACCTGATGACTTGTACTCGGCCGGACCTCGCCTTTCCCCTCAGCATCCTTTCTCGCTTTGTTGCGACTGGGAGACACTGTCCTGTCCACTGATCAGCTGCTGTGAGGGTGGCGAAGTACCTGGCGACTACATCAGGCATGGGGCTTGTGCTTGGAGGGACTCAGCCAGTGGCATTGACTGGTCACTGTGACTCTTCCTACGCTGACGACGTGGAGACTCAGCGCTCGACTCAGGGTTACTGCTTCAGTCTGGGAGCTGGTGCTGTGTCGTGGAGGTCTACTCGGTCGTCGTCTGTGGCTACTTCCAGTGCAGAGGCAGAGATCTACGCGGGTGCCATGGCGGCACAGGAGCTTCGCTAGTTGACCTTCTTACTCGCCGACCTTGGTGAGCGGCCTCGCTCTGCACCGACCTTGTACGCTGACAACAAGGCCATGATCCTCCTGTGTCGAGAGCCTCGACTGGAGAGCAGAGTGAAGCATATTGACGTGAGGTACTTCCTCCTGCGAGAGTTGCAGCGACGCGGCCAGGCTCGACTGGACTTTGTGGCCTCAGAGGCCAACACTGCAGACGTCTTCACCAAGGCCTTGGCGCTTGGTGATCACCACAGGTTCTGTGTGTAGTTGGGGCTTGTTGAGGTAGGCCCTCGGTTGATGTAGTCTTGTTGCTTGCTCTGCTTGTTGTGTTTTCCTATTTATATCCTAGTGAACTCTTGAACTGGCCTTGTGGCCGCTTGCTTGTGCTCGGAATTTGTGTGGTGTCCTTGAGATCCACTCTGAGCTTGCCTTGCTTCTTGCCTTGACTGGTCTTGTGACCGTTTGTTTCACCTTGCTTGCTCTGATGTCCCTCACTTAGCCTATGGGGGTGTATCAAATGTCAATGTTATGATAGGCTGCAGTGAGGTACTCCCTAGAGAGTATAGCTTTTGTAGGATTCCTATTTGTACCCTTGCAAACCCTAATTCCACTCATTCCGTTGTGCTCCATTCTTGAGAAGGTGGTACTAAGATGCTTGAGTGTTGGTTTTGGTAGCTAAATGGTCCACTTCCAGGAATCAAGCCGAGCACTTGCCAGTGACATTGAGAATAAGTACCTAGTCTACAGGATTTGAAGTACAGTTCATGTTTGAAGTTGCTCCCTATAGGAGCGTTTCTGTTCTAGTGCCTACTAGTATGAGCTGTAAAAACATTCATCCCAGACCAAGTTAAAATTGTGAATATTGTACCCACGATAAGTCACTGACTTAGGCTGTTATATTGGATTTTTTTTAACCGCACATTTTGCAGCGAAGTTCGTTGAGCAGAACACGAGCGTCAACTGTCCCCCCTGGCTCATGCTCTTTGTCGGATAAGCCGAAACAGCTGTCGCCTGAGGGTCTTCGCTAAAGCTGACATCGCCCACACTCACACCCCACCATTGTTTCATTCATGCCCTTTGTCGTTTTTGTCTCGATAGCCTGTTTGGTGTAATTGAAACGAGTGGTCGTGGCTTTATACTCTTTACAAACTCACTTTCTTGCGAACATTATTTTCAGCTCAATGTGTACACTGATTTTGCTTGACAAAGAGGTTTTCGACCACACAGCAGTTTTGTCCAATCAGACGACTCGCAACAGCCAACGCAATGAGTACCACGCGGAGAAACCTAGGGCTGCGCGCATCCTTGCGGGTGTGGCGGCGCGCAAGAGAAGCGCCAGTGCGCGAATCCACGCTGAGGAACCCTGCAAGGTGAAGTGCCCGCGCAACCCTTCCCGCCCATGGATTTTGTCGCCCCTCGTGTCTTTCTGTTTCACTGTTTTCCGCCATGGCTAGGCAGGGCAAGTTCAACCCTTTCTCCAGGTGTGTGCAGGATCAGGTTATGTTGTCATTCTTCGCCTTCGAGTGTGATAATGGGATGCCCGACGCCTACTAATGCAGACATAACTCTCTTGTGACCAGCGGCTTTCGGGTATTTTCGCGTTAACGTTTCTTAGTGTCTCACAGGGAGGGTCACATTCGCGGTTGCCAAGTTCTTAGCAGTCGTGGAATTTTCGCAACGAGTATGCGCAGCTCACATGTCGCCATCGGACGGTTAGTCGTCGCTCTAAGGAGAATTAGTCGCTCGTAATCTCTGTCCTTTTTCATTTCCATTCTCTGTACGGTGCGTGTATCGAAGCTTCGTAACGAAGTGTACGCCAAGCATTTTCTGGTGATAAATAGCCGCTTGCTTCCCGCCATAGCCGACCCTCGCCATCCTCTTTCCGAACGAAAAAAGCTCGCGGAATGTGCTGCCAGACGGATGCTATCTGAGGCGATGCCGGGAGCGCGGCTCGGAGGTCGCTCTCTCGCCTGACAGCGAGCTTTAATGGCCAGCGAGTCGCCTCTGCATCGCCCTCCGCCACACGTTCTCGCGTCACGGTCTCCTGTCGCCTCCACCTGCCATGCACAAGCAGCAGCTGTAGTCAGCGCTTTTGCCGCCGCAACACCCGCCATTGTAGCTGACCCTCGTTCTTCGTCGGCCGCTACTTCCGCTGCCGAATCTACTGCGGCTCCCATTTTTCAAAGTCTTTCCGTTAGCGCGTCGTTTGGGGGAGATTTTGCGTTGCAGATTCAAAATCAACGGTCAATGGAGCCTGCTAGTCCAGAATCGACGGTAGATAGTGAAATAGGTATCGCAAGAGATAGTGCGCCTCGAGTGGCTTCATCCGTAACTCACGAAGATGACGATCAAGCAATGGAAGGCGGAGATTTTGTCCGGTACTACAGCGATCCGCGGCCGAAAAAATCCGGCAAATTGGGCGGAATCGGCGGAATGGGCGGAATAGGCGGAATGCGCATGTCGAATCTGGGGAAAGCGCTAGGGTTGCGCGAGTCGGCGCGGGAAAAAGCAGATGCGGGGAGCGAAGGGGGAAGCAGCGGTTCAAGTCACGCGCGACCAGCTGCGCCTTCCGCTCCCCCCGCACACTTGCGCCCTCACCGCGGTTATCTCAAGCAGATGTCCGTGCCTGCAGGGAAACCCACTACTGATGCAGCCGCCGCAGCCGCCGTAGCTGCCGCAGCCGCAGCGCGCGGAGCAGAGGGGAGGAGCGGGGGAGCGGGCGGGGGAAAGGGTGGCGGAACGGGGGGAGACAAATTGCGGTGGGGGGAGTGGATGGGGCGTCCGCAGCATCAAGAGGGGAGAGGGGGAAGCAGGGGCGCGGGGGGAATGGGCGGGGATAACGTGGGAGGGGCGAGCATGCGTGTGGGATGGTTGGACGCATCTGGACGGTCGGATTTCGCGATAATTGTGACGAGGACAAGTGGCGCGATCTGGTTGGAGGAGATGCACAGGCGGAGGGTGCATCATGCGCTGTGCGGTTTTGGGCGGGAAAGGAAGAGCCTTGAGGCGTTTGCAATGGCACAGCAGCGGAAAGAGGAAGGGGAAGGTATAGCGGGGAAGGAAAACCAAGGGGAGACTGGGGCAGAGGGTGGAACGGAGGGTGGAGCAGAGGGGGAAGACAAGGGATTCGAGGGAAAAAAGGAGATTCAGAAAGGACCGGCGAGTTCTACTCGTGCTGCAGCTGCTGCATTAGCTATTCCGCCTAAGCTAGTTCCTGGTGCGTTAAAGCGTGCTCCGTTAACCAGGAAGGTCAAACGGGGACTGGAAGGCGTGGGGGATGGGGCAGTGTACAGTGGGGTTACTGTAGAAGGTGTGCTTATAGGGGGGGTTATGCAAGCGGGTAATGCTGCCAGTGGTGGTGGTGGGGGTAGAACTGATTCGGACGCGGATTTGGGGAAAGAGGCTGGGGAGAACAGGGATGGCGGTAGGGGGGACGAGAATGGGGGGGTTGGCGGAGAGAGGGGAGAGGGGGGCGGAAGTAGAGAAGGGGGAGGTGGGGGCAGTGGGGAAGAGGAAGGGGATCGGGAGGAAAGGGGGTCGGGTTTTGCTCTAGAGGAGCAAGGAGAAGACGAGGAGGAGGAGGAGGAGGAAGAAGAAGAGAGCTTAAGAGGAGATGAGGAAGCGGACGAGGACGAAGAGGGAGGAGCGTTGACGAGACGGTCAGCCAGCAGTGGCAGCGCTATTATCAGAAGGAGAAGGTTACAGGAAGAAGCGAGGGGGAGAGGAGGGAGAGGGGAAGCAGCAGCCGCAGCAAGAGCAGCAGGAAGAGGACCGGTGGGAGGAGCACGGGTGCAGCGGGGAAGCAGCGGGGGAGGAGCAGCAGTGCACGTGCCGCACTGGAGGAGAGCGAGCGGGGGAGGGGACGGGGAGAGATGGCAGACAGCACGTTACGAACCGAGCCCAACCGTTTCAATCGACTGTACCATGTCATCCACTGCCTCTTCGCCCCTAGACCCTGCTCTCATGCAATCCCCGTACTACCCACACCATATCCTGCCGCACAACCTGCCGCCCCTGCATGTCCAGAATCGGCAGCACCGGAGGCAGCTGTCGAATCAGTCGTTCCCTGTGGGGCTGCAGCCGCAGGGCCCTCGCTCGCCTCTCTTCTCCATGCCTCGAGATGCCGGCCTTCCTCCTGCTCCTGCTCCCGCTGTTTATGCTGCTGCTGGTGGAGCGGGTTCGGGTGGTGTGGAGGTTCTATCTGTTGTGCAACACGGGGATGGAGAAGCAGCAGGAGCTGCAGCGGCAGAGCTGGCAGACTTAGAGGAGGGTGTGGAGCAGAGCGAGGAGAAGGACGAGGAGAAGGACGAGGAGCAGAGCGCAGAGCAGAGTGCAGAGCAGAGCATACAGCAAAGCTCAAGCGTGGGCCGGAGGAGAGTGATGGCCCGTTTCCCTCGGGCTATGTCCACTCCTGCTGGAATAGGCAGGTCGCCTTTAGGGGGGAGCAGCCCTCTGTCTGATGTGGATGATGGAGAGGATGAGGGTGGGAAGCGTGGGGAGGAGGAGAGTGAGGAGGAGAGTGAGGAGGGAAGTGGAGAAGGGGAGAGGGAGGGGAGTGAGGGGAGTGAGGAGGGGAGTGGGGAGGCGAGTGAGGGGGGAGGAGGGGGGAGTCCGCACATGAGTTATGGCGAGATGGGTGGTCTGCACGAAACCATCACTGAATGTACTGAGCCTTCTGAATCCAGCCACAACCACCACAGCGAATCCTCATCCCCTTTACAACACGACCCAGTATCGTCACCACGTGCCGGAACAGCCGCCGCAATCGCAGCCGCTGCCGAAGCAGCGAACCCGAGCCTGCCGCCGACCCTGGCCTCCCTGGGGAAGAAAGCCGAAGCAACGCTGTCGACCCGAACCTACCGAGACAAGGACGGGATTGAGTGGCACAAGCGCGGGCCTCTTACCGAAGCTGCTGCTGTGGAGTTTGATACCGAGCCTATGGACATGCCTGCTGTGGTGGATCGGTATGGGTTTGTGGCGGAGGAAGGGGAGGGAAGGGAGGGGTCTGGGGGGGTAGAGGAGGTGAGAGGGGTGGCAGGGGTGCATCCTCCGCAGGCAAGCTTGTTGGAGAAGGAGGAACGGCTTTTGTTCATCAAGTAAGTAATTGAACATTTATTAGGCACCTCAAAAGCATGGTCCCCAGGCAAGCTTGCTGGATAAGGAAGAGCAGCTGCTGTGCATTCACGTGACATAACAATAAACAACCTCTTTGTGTATCTGCTTCTGTAATCGAAGCAGATACACAATCGTGTGTCAAGCAATCGGGTTGCTTTCTGGCCTCTCATGCCTTGTCGTCCTTCACTCTCCCCTTCCTTCTTCCACACTCTGCTCATTCTCTCTCCATTTTCGACTCTCTCCTTTTCCCTGCTCCTCTGCTATTGCTCATTGACTCAAAAGCCACCTATCCCCCTCTGCCTCTTCCGTCTTCCCTTCCATTCTCACTCCCATCAGGGAGGAGAGGGAGATGCGCAGGTGGCGCGCTATGATTGGTCTAGGGCCCATGGACTGGAACCTCTACCAGAGGAAGCACCCCCGGGAGGTCAAGAAGCGGATAAGACAAGGCGTGCCAGACTGCCTGCGCGGGATTGTGTGGCAGCTTTTGTCTGGTAGCCGGGAGTTCCTGCTGATGAATGAAGGCGCGTATGAGGTGAGCCATGGTTGGAAGGTTTTGAGAGTCCTTCAGTACATGTGCACCAATAACGAGAAGACCACCCTGTAAAACCCCCATTCCTTTCTCCCCCCTTCCTGCACCCCTCTCATCCCCGTTATTGGCAGCACATGCTGCTGTACGAGCTATTCAACAACGAGATGGACATCATTCGAGACATCAACCGCACCTTCCTCTTCCCCCTCCTCTTGCTCCCCTTTTATCCCCGTTATTGGCAGCACATGTTACTGTACGAGCTGTCCAACAACGAGATGGACATTATCCGAGACATCAACCGCACCTTCCCCACGCACGTCTACTTCATGCAAAAGCACGGCCCGGGGCAGCGGGCACTGTTCAACGTGCTCAAAGCATACTCGGTCTATGACAAGAAGATTGGATATGTGCAGGTGGGTGGGTGGAAGGAGGTACATGACCGCAGGTTAAGAAAGAAACAGCTGCAGGTTGAATGCCTTCTGGCTGCTCAAGTGCGGCACTCATGCAGTGGGCCGTGCTTGCATGCCTGCCCCTCTGCTCTACGCTCTCGCTCCCCTCCTTTTTTTCTCCTCTGCATTGTTCCACCGCTCCACCCCACCAGGTCTTCATAGCGGGTCAGGTCTCATGCTGCTCTACCTGCCAGAGGAGGACGCCTTCAGGCTGCTCGTGCTGGGTGTGACGCTCATCTCCTTCCCTCTCCCCATGCATGTTCCACTCCACACCATCTCCCACCAGGGCATGGGCTTCATAGCGGGGCTCATGCTGCTCTACATGGCGGAGGAGGGCGCCTTATGGCTGCTCGTGGCGCTCATGCGTTGTGCACTGCTTCCCATGTGTGCGTCCCAAGGGCATGGGTTTTATTGCTGGTCTCATGCTGCTGTACATGGCGGAGGAGGACACCTTCTGGCTGCTCGTCGCGCTCATATATCCCCTCCCTCCCCCCCAACATCTTCTCCTGTCCCCTTCCCCTTTCCCTTCAACACCCCCCCCCCAAGGGCATGGGTTTTATAGCGGGGTTGATGCTGCTGTACATGGCGGAGGAGGACGCCTTCTGGCTGCTCGTGCCGTGTGTGGCATGGCACTGCACTCTCTGCACGCATAACCTTGTCCCTTCTCTCCCTGGATTTACCTCAAACAGGGCATGGGCTTCATAGCGGGCCTCATGCTCCTATACATGGCGGAGGAGGACGCCTTCTGGCTGCTCGTTGCGCTCATGAAGGGCGCCAACCACACGTCACTCGAAGGAATCTTCCTCGTAAGTGCCGTGAACCTTCCTTGTGAGTGCTGTGAGTTCTCCTCGTAAGGACCTGCCGTTGCTCCAGCAGTACCTCTTCTCTTCCAGTGTGATCACCTTACCTGATCCTCGACTCGACTGCCTGCCTTCTCTTCACTCTGCTACCTCATCCCTTGTCTTCTCATTGCCTGATCCCCTGTCCTCCATATCTTCCCCCTTTCTCAGGTGGGTCTGCCGTCAGTACCTCTTCCAGTTGGACCGCCTCTTGCATGAGTGCCTGCCCCTCTCTTCATCTTCTATCGCATCCCCTTATCCTCCGCTCTTGTTTTCCTTGTCTTCTCATTATCCCCCCTTCTCTCCATCTCCAGGTGGGTCTGCCTCTAGTGCAACAATATCTCTTTCAGTTCGACCGCCTCTTACACGAGTGCATGCCGCAGCTGGCGCGACACATGGAGGGGGAGGGGGTGACCCCGTCCATGTACGCCTCTCAGTGGTTCATAACCGTCTTCGCCTACAGCTTTCCGTTTGCAACTACTCTCAGAATATGGGACGTCTTTCTGTTTGAGGTGAGACAGGAGGGCACGGCACATATAAATGGGCGTGGGAGTGATGCCACCCCTCCATGTACGCCTCTCAGTGGTTCATCACGGTTTTCGCCCACAGCTTCCCGTTTGCAACAACGCTCAGGATATGGGACGTGTTTCTCTTTGAGGTGAGGCACCACCTTGCTGTCGCCATGTAGCCATGGTTTGGCTTGCATGTCCCACAAGAGTCTCAGTGCTTCATCACCGTCTTCGCCTGCAGCTTCCTGTTGGTCCCAAGTCAGTGTTGCTAGCAACCACCATCACCATCACTGACCGTTGCCCATGATTCTGACTGTCACTGGTTCTCTTCTCTCCTCCATTTACCCATGTGTGACAGGGCATGAAGACAGTGTTCCGGGTGGGGCTGGCGCTACTGAAGCAGCAGCAGGACGACCTGGTATGCCCTGCTCCCCGTGGACTTACTCACTTGAGCTGCTCTAGACCTCTTTCCACGACCCGCGTCTACCTGCTTCCTCCCACCATCCCTCTACCCCTCTTGCACCTGACTCACCTCTTGCTTTCAGCAGCACTACACTTTACGTTCGCTTGTGATGCGCCAAAACTTTCCGCGCCACCCTTCGCCACCAAGCTCGGATGCTGTTTGAGGACCTCGTGCCTGCCCTGCGCACGCACCTGTGACCTTGTGTAGGGAAGGAGATGGATGATATTGACCCTGTCACGCTCCCCATTCTCATTACTCCTTCCCCCCCGCATCCCTACCCCATGCAGCTGCAGATGCCTTTTGAGGACCTCGTGCCGGCTCTGCGGACATACCCGGATCGCATCCTGGAGCCAGACACGCTGCTCAACGTTGCATTCTCCTTCAACGTGGGTGTTACAAGTCTAAGGGTTAAGGGTTCATGTTTAGGGATTTAAGGTCAGTTTTGAGTTAAGGGCTTGGAGCTGTCCTTCGATCCCATAGCATGCAGTTACATTCTGACTGCATCCTGGAGCCCAACACACTGCTCAACGCCGCCTTCTCCTTCAAGATATGCAATGGGGAGGCTTGGAGTTAGGGGTTATGGTTTCAAGTTAGGCGTCTTGGGCTTAGGATTTAGAGCTTGCTTCTCATCAAATAGCACACACCACTCCCTTCCAGTCACATCCTGAAGCCTGACACGCTGCTCAACGTCGCCTTCTCTCTCAACGTATGCGGTCAGGGCTTGAGGTCTAGGGGTTTAAAGATAGGGGTTGGGTTTAAGGCTTTGGAGCTTGTTTCTGACCCCACAGCATGCAGTGCTCCCGCTGGGCTGCATCCTGGAGCCAGACTCGCTGCTGAACGTTACCTTGTCCTCTGACACACATGTTGGGGAGTTGAGGAGTTAGGGGTTTGGGTTGGGGTTTCGGGTTTGCAGGTATCGGAGCGTATGAGGGAGATGGAGGCAGGTGGAGCGTGCAGAAATACAGCACCCGCCGCCCATAGCAGGGCCCAATGTTTGCAGGGAGGTGGTGCAAGGGAGCAAAGAAAAGCAATCTGTGTTCCCCGTTCCCCACCGCACCCCACCCCTGCCATGTCCAATCCAATGCCCTACTCCCTGCTTGCAGGTATCAGAGCGGCTGAGGGAGCTGGTTAGGCGGAGTACACGGCGATGCAGCACCCACCACTCATAGCAGGGCCCGCCCAAGGCTTGCAGGGAGGTGGAGCAATATGTGTGTCCCACTTCTTCCCCCCTCCGCATGTCCAATGCCCCTCTCTCCGTTCTTGCAGGTCTCAGAGCGGCTGAGGGAGTTAGAGGCAGAGTACAATGCGATGCAGCACCCACCGCCCATCACAGGGCCCAAGGCTCATGGGGAGGCGGAGGAGGGGGAGAGGCACGAGGGGGCGGGAGGGGAGGGCCACCAGCGGAAAGGTATGGGTGGGGGAACGAGAGGGGGGGAGGGGAAAGGCGGTTTCCTGGTGAGATTTCATGAGCATTCCAGATCCATTGTTGAAGTCTGGTGATAGTTTGCGTTGTCCGTTTGTTCCTTCCTGCCCTCCTTCCTCCATTCCCCCATTCTTTGACTCGACTCAATCAAAGTCTGTTCTTTCCTCTCAATCAAAATCTACTTTCTCCCTGCCCATGCACTTTCCCTGGCCCTTCCCCTCCCCATGCCCAATTTCCCTTCCCCAGGCTCCCGGTTCCAAATCCGCCATAGAATCAAATCTGCATTTTCCCGCCCACCAATAACATAATTCTATCACATCCATGATTCATCTGCACCAAGCCATTGATTTCATTCCCACGCTCAGCTGCAGCTCACTTCCTTGTATCGCCTTCAAGTATCTTAGCTGGGGAAGCAGCAAGCTTCACTCGTTTCCTCTCCACTCTAGCTGCACTGCCGGGGGCCAAGCTCCCACTCTCTTCAGCCCTCCCCACTCACAGCCAGCCAGCCCTCCCCTCTCACAGCCTGCCCTCCCCACTTACGGAAAGTGTAACATATTCCCTTCTGAGATTACGGACCTGCTATTTGGTGAAGTGGTCATGTCTAAGTAAACATACGGTAGTCAGCTGTAGTTTGTGCGCTGCTTGTTTGTGCTGCGCGTATTTGGTTTTCTCTCTTTGGCGGCATGGCATGCGTAGCTGGGTGTGCTTGAGCTGTTACTAGTAGTAACAGCATGACAGCTCAGTCCGGTTCCCACTGTTATATTTAGTGTAGCGTACCTTTCTGGGGTTTGTTATACGGTATGCATTGTATTTCGTTTAGTATGGGTATAAAATTAAATTCATTCATCATAGAGCAAAGCCTCGTTTCCACTGCAAAATCCAACTCATCGCGGCAACAGCCATGCCTGCTGCAATTTCTGCACATGTGCGGATCCTTCAGCGTTCAGGGGCTGAAAACGCTCGGAACGCTCCTGCGTGACTGTATCAGGGTGGCGGGACCCCTGCTGCCCCACCTTCCCTGCAAGTCCCCGCGCTCTTTGCAGCAGCGGAGGCAGCCTGGAGGGTCCTGGTTAGCAGCCTATCCTGCACAGCCACCGTTCCCCTCCCGTTGCTGCAATGCAATTGTCCTAACATATATCTCTTTCAGGTAAACCAGTAAGTCACATGAAGCCAAGAGTGCAGAGAAAACATGTGTTTTTTGCTTTGCACTTGTACAAACAAGTACCGTATCGGTCCACTAGAACAATCCAACCTACCTTTGGCTGGAAGCAAATACATTGCAATGAAGTATAGAGTCTCGCACAGAAAGTGCGGCCCTGCTTGAGTATCTTGTCTTGACATACGGTAACAATGTATTATGGAATTAGGGTTTGCAAGGGTACAAATAGGAATCCTACAAAAGATATACTCTCTAGGGAGTACCTCACTGCAGCCTATCATAACATTGAAATTTGACACACCCCCATAGGCTAAGTGAGGGACATCAGAGCAAGCAAGGTGAAATAAACGGTCACAAGACCAGTCAAGGCAAGAAGCAAGGCAAGCTCAGGGTGGATCTCAAGGACACCACACAAATTCCGAGCACAAGCAAGCGGCCACAAGGCCAGTTCAAGAGTTCACTAGGATATAAATAGGAAAACACAACAAGCAGAGCAAGCAACAAGACTACATCAACCGAGGGCCTACCTCAACAAGCCCCAACTGCACACATAACTTGTGGTGATCACCAAGCGCCAAGGCCTTGGTGAAGACATCTGCAGTGTTGGCCTCTGAGGCCACAAAGTCCAGTCGAGCCTGGCCGCGTCGCTGCAACTCTCGCAGGAGGAAGAACCTCACGTCAATATGCTTCACTCTGCTCTCCAGTCGAGGCTCTCGACACAGGAGGATCATGGCCTTGTTGTCAGCGTACAAGGTCGGTGCAGAGCGAGGCTAGTTTAGGGTTTAGGGTTTAGGGTTTAGGGTTTAGGGTTTAGGGTTTAGGGTTTAGGGTTTAGGGTTTAGGGTTTAGGGTTTAGGGTTTAGGGTTTAGGGTTTAGGGTTTAGGGTTTAGGGTTTAGGGTTTAGGGTTTAGGGTTTAGGGTTTAGGGTTTAGGGTTTAGGGTTTAGGTTAGGTTTAGGGTTTAGGGTTTAGGGTTTAGGGTTTAGGGTTTAGGGTTTAGGGTTTAGGGTTTAGGGTTTAGGGTTTAGGGTTTAGGGTTTAGGGTTTAGGGTTTAGGGTTTAGGGTTTAGGGTTTAGGGTTTAGGGTTTAGGGTTTAGGGTTTAGGGTTTAGGGTTTAGGGTTTAGGGTTTAGGGTTTAGGGTTTAGGGTTTAGGGTTTAGGGTTTAGGGTTTAGGGTTTAGGGTTTAGGGTTTAGGGTTTAGGGTTTAGGGTTTAGGGTTTAGGGTTTAGGGTTTAGGGTTTAGGGTTTAGGGTTTAGGGTTTAGGGTTTAGGGTTTAGGGTTTAGGGTTTAGGGTTTAGGGTTTAGGGTTTAGGGTTTAGGGTTTAGGGTTTAGGGTTTAGGGTTTAGGGTTTAGGGTTTAGGGTTTAGGGTTTAGGGTTTAGGGTTTAGGGTTTAGGGTTTAGGGTTTAGGGTTTAGGGTTTAGGGTTTAGGGTTTAGGGTTTAGGGTTAGGGTTTAGGGTTTAGGGTTTAGGGTTTAGGGTTTAGGGTTTAGGGTTTAGGGTTTAGGGTTTAGGGTTTAGGGTTTAGGGTTTAGGGTTTAGGGTTTAGGGTTTAGGGTTTAGGGTTTAGGGTTTAGGGTTTAGGGTTTAGGGTTTAGGGTTTAGGGTTTAGGGTTTAGGGTTTAGGGTTTAGGGTTTAGGGTTTAGGGTTTAGGGTTTAGGGTTTAGGGTTTAGGGTTTAGGGTTTAGGGTTTAGGGTTTAGGGTTTAGGGTTTAGGGTTTAGGGTTTAGGGTTTAGGGTTTAGGGTTTAGGGTTTAGGGTTTAGGGTTTAGGGTTTAGGGTTTAGGGTTTAGGGTTTAGGGTTTAGGGTTTAGGGTTTAGGGTTTAGGGTTTAGGGTTTAGGGTTTAGGGTTTAGGGTTTAGGG